CAAGGGGAGGAGGCGGCGGGGACGGGGGGTGTGCAGGGGGCACGCGCAGAGCGCGAGGGGAGGCGGCCGCGCGTGGGTGAGCGTGCAAGGGCGGGAGGGCGGTTTGCGTGTGTGTGCAAGGGTGGGGCGCGTGGAGGACACGAGTGACGGGTGGGAGAGGGGTGGCGCGCAAGGGGAGCAGGCAGCGAGGACCCCGGCGTGCAAGCGGGGGGCGCAGGGAGAACACGAGTGACGTGGGAGCGGGGCAGCGTGTGGGTGAGCGTGCAAGGGGCCGTACGTGTGCGTACGAGTGTGCAAGGTGAGGCGGGTGGGTTCCCTGGAGGCGGGCGGCCGGCCGGGGCGCAGCACGGCGTCTCCCTCTCCCCCAGCGCAGCCGCGCGATGGAGGTCAGCCACTCCGTCAAGGAGCGCACCATCGCCGAGAACAGCCTGGTCATCCTGCTGCAGGGCCTGCGCGGCCACGTCACCACCGTGGACCTCCGCGACGAGAGCACGGCCACGGGGCGCGTCACCAACGTGGACGCCTTCATGAACGTGCGGCTGGCGGAGGTGACCTTCACGGACAGGCAGGGCACGGTGTCCCACCTGGACGAGCTCTTCGTGACCGGCAGGAACGTCCGCTACGTCCACATCCCGGACGAGGTGGACATCAGGGCCACCATCGAGCAGCAGCTGCAGGCCATCCACAGGGTCCGCTATTTCGGGGGCCGCGACAAGGGCAGGAAGGAGTTCCCTCGTGCCAAGCACAAGTGAGCCCCTGGCACCGCCCACAGCCCTGCCAAGTTGGACTTGCCCCTTCGACCAGACTGCTAGCCACCTCCACACCTCGCCCCAGACATCTCACCCAGGGACTCGGGGCTCTGCTGCTCCGCTGGCCGGTGCCTGCGGGGGAGCAGGGTTATTTTTGTAATTAATAACCCCGCTTGAAAGGGTCTGTGATCTCTCAGCTCGTTTCCTGTTCCATTGGCAGCAACTCGTGTCCCTCCTCTGAGCCCAAACAAAGCCCTTTTGGCCAAAGTCGCAGCCTGGGGTTGTTGCTCAGCTGTATTCTCCTGCAGCCATCCTGCTGCCCACAGCTCTGCCTTCCCCTGCTCCCAGAGCGCGGGGCCCTGCTGCTGCCGGCATCGCTGCCCGCGGGAGCCGGAGACGCTGGTCCTGGGCTGGGGACGGGGCTGCTCGTGGCCTGTCCTCAGCTTCCTGCCAGACCGCCTCCGTTCTGGAAGTGTTTAACGGGAAGGGAATGGGACACACGTCCATCCGGAGCGGGGCTGAGCTCGGGGGGGAAGGGGCAGCACCATCTGCCTGGAGAAGCACAAAGGTGCTTCACCCGGGACACGGGGAATGCTGCTGCTGCCGGGAATGCCGCTGCTCCTGGCTCCTCCGCTTCCCCGCTCCTCCATCACCCTTCCCCAAAGCTCTGCAGTGCTTCTTCAGCCCGCTGCACGTCTGCTGAAAGCGCTGCACAGTGAACAGATGACTCCGTCCTGTTCCGCAGGCATCCCTTTGTCACCCAGCGCCTCCCCGGAGACTGAGCCCGGTGGCTCTCCCGCCCCGGTGTGTGCAATTTGCACAGCTCCGGGCCTGGGTGGGAGCTGTCGGCAGCTCTGGGGCAGCCCCGAGAGCAGCGCTGCTGCTTCCCTGTCCCCCCAGGAGCCGCTCAGGTGGAGGCTGGCGTGATTTCTAAC